TCTTAAAACATAACCCCATTGTAGCCTAAGGAGAGTGGGGGGGGGGGGGGGGCAACAGGTGTACCAAGAGATGATTGGTTGGAGAACGAGGAGCTAAGATGCCAATGTGGCCTTGCATCTGTCCTTAGTGTACGATGCATATCCTTTCATTATTCTTTCACGACCACCGGACTTTTTTAATGCACTTAATGCCATGCATAAACCTTGCTATTTATTCCACTAAATCAATTTAGGTGCTACGGCTGAGTACCTCTTGATGTTGAAGCCATTTTGTTGGTGTAACTCCTCCCTCCTTGTTCTTTTGATTGTGCTTTGCTGTTATGAGTGAAGCTTAGTCCAGACTGACGTTAGCGCGCTACGTTCCTTTAAGAGTGTGAGTTACTTACTGGACATTTCCCCTTAAACCACTGTGTTATTGGCAAGTAAAGCTAAATGAGTCACTTAACATATGCATGTGTGTGTGTTTGCAAACACGTCCCTGAAGTAGCCATTTGGCACCCTGCTACCCTGCCCTTAAAATAGCACAAACACAACCGCATTGTCACCAGGGAAATAAGTTGCCGGTACTGATGCAGAGAAATTGTTGCATTTTTTTCTTTATGCAGAAGAAGGTTCTTCCGAGGCGGCTGAGAGGAAGGTCGCTGTCACCAGGCAGCTAACTGATCCACGCAGCGCTACTACCATGCAGGCACTGTCACTCGCTGCGAGTTCCTCTGTGCCTCTCAATTAGCACCCCGTTATGACATGATAAAACCCGGCTCCTGTCCCTAAAGCTATTTGAGTGCAGCCGCGATAAAAGTTTCAAAGATCTGCATCCAAGCAAAGTTCTTCAGATGCCAAATTACATCTCCTATCACCGAAGATGCCAAAGTTCACCCAGGAGACTTTGAGAATACTCTCCGGCACGAATTACCTTCTTTTCTTTCTGATTGCCTTAGAAAAAAAATGCAGCTCTCTGAAATTTGAAAGAATATTGTTGTCAATTGAAATGGCAGATTTCTTCATGTCTGAGGTTATGAAGTACATCCAAAATGTAATATGGGACAATAAAAAAATTTCATGCTGCTTCACAGACATATTTCCAGATTTACGGATTTATGGTCTGGTAAGAAAAAGAGAAATACTAAAATGTTGTCTGATTATTCTGCAGCTGCATACAGTAGTACTCATGAGGCACATGGTTTTTAGAGATCAGGAACATCTGTGCAGGACTGATATAGCCTGATATGTAAATATGGTGACACTTGACAGGGCACAAACAATGTAGTATTATGCTATTACTATTACCACAGACTACGTCTTAGTTACATACTGATTTCATGTTAAAGGGGCAGTCCACCCCAAAGATATCTTTTAGAGGAGCTTTAGTGCTCCAACTAAGTTGTTCTGCTGGGAGTTGCCTAGTTTTGGCGATATTGGCTGTTGAAATGTCTGGCTTCTCTTGAATATTATGAGACTGAATGACATTCTTCCTGTGGTGATTAAAGCGCCAGAAAAATACATTTGAAAAATCCAACAGCAATGTCTCTTACCAGAAATCATGACCCGGTCACTTAAGGTAATCCACAGACTTTGTAGTGAGCAGTTTTATTTAGGAACTACTGAACTCCAAACCCCAATCGTATCACTGCACAGAAAATATTGTCTGGGTGCTTGTACTTCACTAGCAGCTGAGTTATTACTAAGCATTTGTGCCCCGTCAAGTAAAGTGTTACTGTAAATATTCTCCCTGTCAATCGTCAAGGCCGAGGTGGGCTCTCAGTTGTTGACCAGACACATAACTGCTGTAGAGACCCGCTGCTTACATCATGGTTCTGCAGTTCAGGTTCTGCCAGGTTCCACCTAAACACTCGAGTGCTCCAGCTACCTGCCTCATTGAACTCAGCGCCCTTCTCGCTACCAACAGTTAGATGTTATAAAAAGAACCTGCATGTTCACCCTTTCGAGTCTTACTTTGCCGAGATGTTCAGCTTATTTTGTTTTGCTTGCTACCATGACTCAGTCCTTCCTTCCCATATCAGTACAAATCACATCAACCACAGCCTGATTACACATAATTGCTGTATTATCTGGAGAATAAGAGACACATTTGTTTAAAGTTCGTCCTTATGTCTTTGCCCTCACCTGATATTTACACTGCAAACAATATAATATTCCTTATATTATACCGTTCCTTATAACGGTGTTATTAATGCGATAACCAGTAAGACTCACTATTTACAAAATTAGGTTAAGATTTTATTATTATTATTATTTCTTATGGGTGTGTGTCTGTGAATACTCTCTCTCTCTCTCTCTCTCTCTCTATATATATATATATATATATATATATATATATATATATATATATAT